CATATCTGATATAGAAATGGTATCCAAAATATATAAAGAACTCTCACAACTCAATAGTAAGAAAATGAATTCACTTTAAAAACCGGGCAAAAGATCTGAAGAGAGGCTTCACCAAAGAAGATATAAAAATGGTAAATAAGCATACAAAAAGGTGTACAACATCATTAGTCATTAGGAAAATGCAAATTAAAACCACAATGAGGGGCCAGCCAGTGATGTAGTGGTTAAGTTTGCGCATTCCACTTCAGCGGCCCAGGGTTCATGGGTTTGGATCCCAGGCACAGACCTACACACCACTCATCAAATCATGCTGTGGTGGAGTCCCACATACAAAATAGAGGAAGACTGGCACAGATGTTAGCTCAGGGACAACCTTCCTCAAGCAAAGAGAGGAAGACTGGTGACAGATGCTAGCGCACAGCTAATCTTCCTCACCAAACAACCACCACCACAAAAAACACAGTAAGATACCACCACACAGGCACTAGAATGACCAAAATTTTTTAAACTGAAATACCACTACCTCACACCCATTAGGATCACTACAATCAGGAAAAAAATAAAATAAAATAAACAGAAAATAACAAGTGTTGGCCATGATGTGGAGAAATTAGAACCCTTGTATGCTGTTGGCGGGAAGGTAAAATGGTGTAGCTACTCTGGAAAACAGTCTGGGGGGTTTCTCAAAAAATTAGAAATAGAATTATCATATGATCCAGCAGTCTCACTTATGGGTATATACATAAAACAACTGACAGCAGGATCTCCAAGAGATAATTACACACCCATATTCATAGCAGCATTATTCACAATACCCAAGAGGTGGAAGCAACCCAAATGTCCACTGATGGATGAATGGATAAACAAAATGTGGCATATACATACAATGGAGTATTATTCAGCCTTAAAAAGGAAGGAAATCCTGTCACATGCTTCAATATGATTGAGCCTTGAGGACATTATGCTAAGTGAAATAAGCCAGTCACAAAGACAAGTACTGTATGATTCCACTATATGAGGTAACAAGAGCAGTCAAATTCATAGAGACAGAAAGGTAGAATGGTGGTTGCCAGGGGCTGGGGGAAGAGGGAATGGAGACCTATTTAATGAGTACAGAGTTTCAGGAGGTTTTTTGTTTTTTGTTTTTCTGAGGAAGATTCGCCATGAGTTAACATCTGTGCCAATCTTCCTCTATTTTGTATGTGGGTCACCACCACAGCATGGCTGCCAACAAACACTGCAGGTCTGTGCCTGGGAACCAAACCTGGGCCGCTGAAGTGGAGTGCACCAAACTTAACCACTAGGCCATGGGGCCAGCCCTGAGTTTCAGTTTTATAAGATGAAAAAGTTCAGGAGATCGGTTGTACAACAATGTGAATATACTTAACACTACTAAATCATACACTTAAAAATGGTTAATATGGTAAACTTTAAGTTGCGTTTTTTACTACAATTTAAAAAAAACAACGGAAATACCAAGGCTGGAGAGAGTGCAGTCACTGGAACTCTCATACACCGCTGGTGGGAATGTGCAATAGTATAACCATTTTGTAAAACAGTTTGGCAGTTTCTCATAAAGTTAAATACACACTTACCATGTTTCTCAGCAGTTCCACTGCCAGGTGTTCACACAAGAACTGTATGTGAATGTCTATAGTATCCTTCTTTACCCACAACTGCCAAAAGGTAGAAACAATCCAAATGCCCACCAACTGATGAACGGATAAACAAACTATAGCACCTCCATACAATGGAATACTACTCAGCAATAAAAAGGAATGGACTACGGATAAATACAATGAAGTGGGTTGAATTATGTTCCCCAAAAAGATACGTTCAAGTCCTAACCCCAAGTACCTGTGAATGTGACCTTATTTGAGAAGAGAATTTTTGCAGATGTAATCAAGTTAAGATGAGGTCATACCAGATGAGAGTGGGCCCTAAATCCAATGACTGATGGCTTTATAAGAGACGGGAGAGGGAGATTTGAACACAGAGACAAAGAGGGAAGAAGGTCATATGCAATGGAGGCAGAGAGTGGGGTGATGGAGCTACAAAGCAGGGGACACCAAGGACTGGTGGCAACTAACACAAGCCAGGAGGAGCAAGGAAGGCTTCTTCCCTAGAGCCTTCAAAGAGCATGGCCCTACTGACAGCCTGATTTCAGACCTTCAGCCTCAGAACTGTGAGAGACGAAATGGCTGCTGTTTTAAGCCACCCAGTTTATGTTCTCTGTTATAGCAGCCCCAGGAAACTAACACACACAACAACATGGATGAGTCTCACGTGCACTATGCTACGTGGAAGAACTCGGCAGGCTACGTATTTTTGATACCATTTACAGGACACACTGGAAAAGGCAAAACTACAGCTCAGTGGTTCCAGAGGCTGGGAGCGGGGGGGTGAGAGATCACACGGGGACATAAGGGACCTTTCTGGGGATGATGGAACTGTCCTATTTCTTGATTGTGGTGGTGATTATACAACATAGAACTGTATACCTAAACAAGGGCAATTGTACCATATGTAAATTATACTTCAGAATGTTTACTTAAAAAAGAAAACCTAGGGGCTGCCCCGGTGGCACAGCAGTTAAGTTCACACGTTCCACTTATCAGCAGCCCGGGGTTTGCCGGTTCAGATCCCGGGTGCAGACACGGCACCACTTGGCAAAAGCCATGCTGTGGTAGGCGTCCCACGTATGAAGTAGAGGAAGATATGCATGGATGTTACCTCAGGGCCAGGCTTCCTCAGCAAAAAGAGGAGGATTGGCAGTAGTTAGCTCAAGGCTAATCTTCCTCAAAAAAAAAAAACGAAAAGAAAATCTATGCTTCTGGGATTCCCTTTTTTCCTCAGTTTGTCAAGAAGAATCCCGGGAAGAGGGCTCCCATTGGCCTAACTATCCCCTAAAGGGATAATGTGAGGATCAAAATAATAACAATAATAGTTATATATTATAATGCATTGACTAAAATAAGAAACCACAAAATCATATATACAGAAATAAATAAATGTATAAATTGAAAGTTTGATGAGAATCAGGATAAAATATCTCCTCACAAAATATCTATTAATACAAAGAGGAAGTGTAACTTAACAGTGGAGAAGCCTAACAGACATCACCTTAATTGATAAAAGTAACAGGCCAAATGAAAATCACCCACTTAGTGGGATACAATAACCACATCACTTCTGGGTTATTCTTGCCAAAGATGCATAGTCACGAAGAAACATCAGATAAACCCCAAGTGAGGGTTATTCTACAAAATAACTGGCCTATAATCTTCAAAAGTCACAAGGTCACAAAAGTCAAAAATTATTTTTTTTAATGTCAAAAATAAAAGACTGAAAAACTGCTCCAGACCGAAGGGAACTAAAGACAATAACTAAATACATGTCATTCTGAACTGGATCCTTTTGCTATAGGGGACAGTAATGGACACTAGGTGAAACTTGAACGGCATCTGAGGATCAGACGGGAATAATGTATCACTGTTAATTTCCTGATTTTGATGGTGCTATTTTAGTTATGTAGGACAATATCCTTGATTACAGGAAATACACAGTGAAATATTTTGGGGTGATATGGCATCAGGTCAGCAACTTATTCTCAAAGGGAAAAAACATTACTTGTATGGTACTTCCAACTTTTCTGTAAGTTTGTGATTGTTTCAAAGTGAAAAAAGTATTCAAAGAATGAATCCCAGGAAGGCCAAGGCTGTCACTTCATCCCACTCCCCAGTGAAACAGGAAAGGGACCTGAGAGTAAATTCTGTATTCCTCTAAATCTGACAATAAAGTCACATTTATATAAAGACCACAAAATCAGGATCTCAAACACAACAAACTCTGACAATGCTCTATTTTCTTAAGCATGAAATCCAGCATAAAGCAGAGATCTACTTTATTTGGATACTGAATGATCCAATAGGCCAACATATAAGACAGTTCGATCTACAGAAGCAGATCTCTAACATCAGCAGTACTATAGTGAGATTCCAATGTCATTATATTAAAGACAAGATTCCAGGGAAGTAGGATAGAAACATGTTTACATTGTACTTTTTCTAATCACCATTACAGTTAAGGGTTCCTATTAACACTCTCAAATGGAAGTCTCCAATTTAAATAATACTTTTGTACTATGGGACATAATCAAACAAGTGAACCCAGTTTTTACAACAAACAAAGATGACAGTACTTTTAAAATGGAGAGGCATCCAAAAGAATAAAGCTACGCTTCATCTTAAAGTTCATATCTCACCTTTAACACCAAATCTTAAATTGTGTAATTAGAATGACATGCTCCTGATTTTTCAGAGACTAGCATATCTAAGTAAGTCTAATTCTGTTCTTAACAAAAATATCATATACCATTGTCAAAACAATTCCACACTGTTTTGCACAAGGCTCTTTACTGACCTGAATGGTTAAAGCACCTGAGACACTGCACTAATCTAATGCAATACAGACCACTTATCTTTGCCTTAGATCTGCACTGTCCAACATGGCAGAAATGGCCACATGAAGGGAGAGAAATGTGGCTAGTCTGAATTGAGATGTACTTTAAGTCTAAAATACACATCAGATTTCAAAGACTTCATACAAAAAAAAGAATGTGAAATATCTCATTAACGTTTTTTATACTGACTATATATTGAAATGATAATATTTTAGACGCTTTGGGTTAAATAATTATTTAAATAATATTAAAGTAAAGTATACGTTTCTTTTTCTTTACTGTAGCTACTAGAAAAGTTTAAATTACATAGGTGGCTCACGTTGTATTTCTACTGGATGGTGCTGCATTAGACTATTTGTGAAATAACACAATCTTACGCTGCAGAAGCCAGGAAAGAGAATAATGATGGACTTCCCAGGAGAACATTGAATTGTATCAAGGTCCAGTTTATCCTTCAAGATCTAATCTTTTAAAATATAATCTCTGCCTATCTTTTTACACTCCACTCAGTTTAAAGAAAGCAAATATCTGGAGGTACCTGAAACTCTGGCGCACTGCTCCGCAGCTGGCTCACATTTGGTAAGGATCCTCCATGGTACTGTGTAAGGCGCAGTTGCTGAAGCTTCTGAAATTGAACCTGGAAACAAAGCGATTTCAAGACTGTTGAGAGACGACAGCAAAGATCTGAAAGAAGCATCAAAGTATGGTGCTTTGTAGAGAAACGGCTCCAGAATGAAAGTCTTGGTTTCAATTTCTTCTCTACTTAAAACCTCCAGGTTTCAAGTGCCTTCTGGCTTGATTAGTCTATTTTTGGAAAGAATTTATCCAGGTTCCAAATGCCCCATGCACCAGGACAGCTAGGGACTCTTGCAAGGTCTTTGAGGGTGTATGTGTAGGCATGCAGGCACAATCTTTAACAACCCAATAAAAGAATTTCTCAAAGGAAAACTAAGCCTCTATCTATGACTCTAAGACATTAACCGTTTTTCCTTCCCCATCATGCTTTTTTTCAGTCTCCATTTACATTTATGTGTAATAACTGCACAGTTGTGACCATAAAACATAGGTACAATCTCACATGCTTACATCATAAGTCTTTTCTATGATATTACATAATCATTTTCAATGGCTACATAACATTTCCTCTTCTGAATTATTCCCTTAGAACATATTCCAAAGAATAATTCCTAGGTTTGGGTATGGGCCTTTTGATGGCTCTCAACACATACTGCCAAAATGTTTTCCCAAAGGGTATACCAATATATATATGAGAAAACAGTCTCACCAAAAAACTCACTAACACTCGATATTATCATTAATTTGGGGTAAAGAAGAAGGCCAATTCAACAGGTATAAAATGGTATCCCACTGTTTTAAGATGCCTTACTTCTGCAAGTTCTTCCTTCATTTTCCAAAAGGCAGTAAACTGGTTACAGTTCTTGTAAACCCCAAAGTGGTCATTTGGTCTTTAAGAGTTCTGTTTCTTAAATAATAAATTTCTTCTGTGGTTATATAACCCTTGGCACTTATAATTCACGTAGGGAAGAAAGGGTAGACAGGAACCCTGAGGCAGATTTTTACCCTTTCATTACTCTCTGCCTTTGTCTAATGATAATAATAATAATTACCAGATCTGAGCCCCTAAGACGAGCCAGATGCTGCCCTCAGACGCACTACCCACTTCATCCCTAACCCTCTCCACAACCACCACAGGAGACTACATTATCCTGCTTTTGCAGACCTGGAGCCCCAGACCTAGGAAGTTCAGAGACTTGCACAAGGTCACACAGCAAGAAGAGGCCAAGCTAAGGCTGTCTAACTCAAAACCCACATTCTTATTTCTGCCATATTCTTTTCCTTTCTTCTATTTCTCCCTCGATGGTCACACTATTTAAAAGTTCAGAGAAAAGTGAAGTTTGAGTGACCAAAAGCATTGCTGTGCCTATGAAGCTCTCTGATTTTGTTTTTACATTTATTATGATAACTTTCAAATACATATAAAATAAAGATGAGTATAATGAAACCCCATCTATCTTCCAGCTTCAATAATTATCAACTTATGTCCACTCTTTTTTTTTTTTTTTTTTTTTATTTTATTTTTTTTTTTAAAGATTTTATTTTTTCCTTTTTCTCCCCAAAGTCCCCCGGTACATAGTTGTGCATTCTTCGTTGTGGGTTCTTCTAGTTGTGGCATGTGGGACGCTGCCTCAGCGTGGTCTGATGAGCAGTGCCATGTCCGCGCCCGGGATTCGAACCAACGAAACACTGGGCCGCCTGAAGCGGAGCACGCGAACTTAACCACTCGGCCACGGGGCCAGCCCCAACTTATGTCCACTCTTGATCCATCTTTACCCCCTCTGCTATCACAGCACCCCACTAAAAGAAATCCCAGGCATTCCGTATTTCAATACGCATCTCCAAAAAATAAGGACTTACATCTGTCTGGAAGTTTTAAAAGTATACAAAACCCTTTGGCAGCCTTAACTTCCTTATACCCACAGTATCTGATTTCTCAAACATATTGCCCTGGGAGACGGTTATAATCTATTAATCAAAACCCAGATCCGAGAGCCAAATACGAGAAGGAGGACATGGTGAGCTTTTTCCATCTATCAGCTGAGTTGTAAGAATAAAGTCTCAGCTTTTGATCTTAACATTCTCAAAGCACTTACCAGAAGCATTTGACTCTATCCTTGAAATTCTCTAGGCAAAATTCTCAGCCCCCTTGATCTAAAGCCTTTGATCCCTTCTTCCATCAATCCATCCATTTACTCACTTACATAAAAATTTTTTTTTTCTTCACTTTTTTTTGAGGAAGATTAGCCCTGAGCTAACTACTGCCAGTCCTCCTCTTTTTGCTGAGGAAGACTGGCCCTGAGCTAACATCGTGCCCATCTTCCTCTACTTTTTATATGTGGGACGCCTACCACAGCATGGCATGCAAAGAAGTGCCATATCCGCACCCGGGATCTGAACTGGCGAACCCCGGGCCACCGAGAAGTGGAATGTGCGAACTTAACCGCTGCGCCACCGGGCCGGCCCCCATAAAAACTTTTAACTGTGTGTCAGGTACTGTGCCAGGCTCTGGCTTACTCAGAGGAAAACATGCCAAAGTTCCTGATTTCAGAGTCCTCACAAAGGCTTCAACTCTTACCCAAAAGCCGTGACACTTCAACCAAGCTAAATTCTAAATCTAGCTAGAGACCTGCTTTCAGCTGAGCTGAAGGCTCTCTCACAGTCTCCTATATCTGCTCTCCCTCCCACAGCGCCTATTTCTGGAGCTTTCCAAGACCAGTGCACTACAGTAAAAAGAGCACTGGAGCTGGAACTGGAAGACCTGACTCTGTAACCTGGAACTCCCCTGGGGTTGGGCAAGCTATTCTGCCCTCTATTTCACAAAGACAACGTAAGGGTTATAAGAGAGGATAGACATGACGGTGTAAAACGTAAAGCTCTGGACAACTTCCCAAAATACTATCTTTATTGTTGATATTCTCAACTATCTTTTTTGTTTTTAAGGATTGGCACCTGGGCTAACAACTGTTGCCAATCTTTTGTTTTTTTTCCTGCTTTATTTCCCAAACCCCGCACCCCACCCCCTCCCCCCCGCCGCCCCCGGTACATAGTTGTATATCTTAGTTGCAGGTCCTTCTAGTTGTGGGATGTGGGACGCTGCCTCAACGTGGCCTGACGAGCAGTGCCATGTCCGCACCCAGGATCCGAACCCTGGGCTGCCGCAGCGGAGCGCACGAATTTAACCACTCGGCCATGGAACCGGCCCCTCAACTATCTTCTAAACCCTTGAATAATTTTGATATTTTCCTCTTTTAAAATTCAGAATCATTGAGCTAGAAAGAACTGTAGGGACTGTCTTCCACACCATCATGCTCACTGGTGATGAAAATGAGAACCAAAGAATGACTAGCCTAAGGCGGAGAGCACCAACTGGCAGGAAACAGGCCACGTTTAGCCTTGAGAGTTCTGTATGACCCACATGATACCTACTCAATGCTTGAAATTTTAACTTTAAAATTGGCAGACTGCATAAATATCTGAATTTCCAACTTCTCTTGATTGAGAGATCAGACAACACTAAACCCACATTCTTGCATGGCAACAATGCCCAGCGCTGAGAAGGGACCGCCCCCTTAGACGTGGCTTGGGTTCCCCCGTTGTCGAGTCCTCATTGTACCCTATTATTCCTCCACTACGACCCGAGATCAGCAACCATTTATCATCTCATTCCTGGCCCCTTCACTCCTTTTCCTCAACTGCCTCACCCTGTAACTTGAGTTAACAACTGTTAGCCTATAGTCACACATTTTAGTGGAATTTCCTTCAATGTCTTTATGAAATGAGATCTAAGCCTCACTAATTCCTTTTTGAAAAGGTCTCTAATAGTCAACACAATCCCAAACAAAACCCCAGCAGGCCTTTTTATAGAAACTGACAAGATAATTCTAAAATTTACAGATGAGCCAATAACCTACAGTAGCCAAAGCAATTTTTAAAAAGAGCAAAATTGGAAGACTTAAGTTACTTCATTTCAAGACTAATTATAAAGCTACAGAAATCCAGGCTATTGCCCAAAAGAGAGATGTATAGATCAACAGAACAGAAGAGAGAATCCAAAAATAGACCCACACATATATGGCCAATTGATTTTTGAGAAAAGCATCATAGCAATTCAATGGGGAAAGAAAAGTGTTTTCAATAACTGCCACTGGTACAATTTGATATCCTTATGGAAAAAAAAGCAGCTGAGTATACAGACATTCAGTGTGACAGTCAGATTCAAATCGCAGCTCAGCCACTTACCAGCCATGCAACCTTACCTCTCAAGCAAAATGAAGAACATTCTAGAAACACACTCCATAGGGTCATTATGAGAACTACGTGAGATAATGAATATAAAGAGATCAGCACAGAGCCTGGCAAAGATAACACTCAACATTTAGCCCAAACCTAATCTTTCTAGTCTCCTTTCTCCACCCCCTCAGAGGCCTCGCTACTCCATAACGTATCTAATTTATTTTAATCTAAAAATAATGGTTTTTTAAATATTCAAGCCAAATTAACACTCCAAGTCGATGTGCTGAGTTTATCTGGCGGTTTCTCAACACTACAAGTTGTCCTTCTAAGCCGACCTTCTTGAACAAGTTCCCAACCTTGTCTCCATTTTCTCCCATCCATTCCTCAGTGCCCCACAACCTCCCTTCCACCCAGCACTCTGCGGACACAGCAACTCTCCCCAAGGTTAGCAACGACCTCCACGTGACCGGACCAAAGCACACGTCCTTATCACGCCAGACCCAGTCAGCAGCACCGGGCTCAGCTGGCTGACACTCCTTCCTCTTAAAAAGGATCCTCCTGGCTTTTCCCCTACCTCTGGGTGCTCTTCAGTCTTTTTTTCTGGTTCCTCCTCCTTGCCCTCCCCTATAAATGGTGGAGCTTCTTGGGCTTCTCCTAGGCGCTCTTCACACCTCACTCTACAGGAGGGGTCATAAACTCAAATGCCTACAGGTGCCAGTACGGAAGATAACTAAGTGAAGAGGGCTGGAATGACTGTGAGGAACACCACAGGGAGTGGTAGGGACTGTGGCAAACTGAAAAACATACACATGCCCTATCTAATGGGGGCAGCCACTACTCAGCTCCAGGCAACTGCTGCCATGCAGAAATGTAGGGTGAATGTTGTTAGATAATCTCGTTTTTCAAAAGAAGCCAAAGTCCAGATTTTAATATAAAATCTCAACATTCATTCTTGGCCCTAGTTTTTTTTAAAAAACACATTTGCCTTCCCCCTACCACCCCAAAATACATCAGAGGGCCAAATTAGAATTTAGGCCACCAACTTGCAAGATCTGTTCTAGAAATTCTTCCTAGGCAGCTGAATCTACTCCCACAGCTACACACCAAAGATTCCCACGTTTATATCACTAGCCTGAACTTCCCTCCTGAGCTCCAGGACCACACACAAACTGCTTGCTGGACCATCTCTACTTAAACTTTGCCTCTCAGCACCTCGAACTCAGCATCTCTTGACATTGAGGAGTCTGCTCCCGACTTACTCTTGCCAGTGCTCCCTCTCTTAAAGGAGGACATCCTGAAATGGCTCAAGTCTGAAAGCTGAGGATCATGCTCGAGTCCTCCCTCTCCCTCACTTCCCTCAACCGTTCACCAAGTCTGGTCCTTTCTACCTCCTAAGTATCAGTCTGTTCCCGTCTCTGCCTCCCTGTTGCTATCAGCCCAGTCAATGCCATCATCACATCTCCCAGACTAGTGTTTCAACCTCCAAACAGTTTCTCTGCTGCCTCCTCCTCTTTCCACCCACCATTCTGGAGCTAGAGGCATCGTTTAAAACGCAAAGTTCCCCTGGTTCAACAGCTGCAATGACTTCCCACTGTCCTCAGGATCACATCCCAAACCTCGTCTCTACAATCTGACCTCTGTGAATGCCTCAACTCAAATCGCCCTCCTCATCCCCTTGTAGAAACTTTGCCCCCTGTGCTGGAACATTCTTCCTCCCTCAACACATAAGCATATACCCCCAAATGCCTTCCCCACTCCCAGGAATCCTCCGGGCCACTAGATGAGGTGAGGACTCCCTACCACACACTCTCAGAGCTCCATCTGCTTGTGCCTTTGTAACAGTCAACAAAATGTGTCCTTACTTGTCAACTGGATGTCTTTCCCATAAAATCCTAAAATCCATGAGGAGACTGTGTTTGGCCTACTCACCACTATATCCCCAGTGTCCATCCTAACTCCTGACACACACTAGGGACTCAGTAAGCACCTGCTGAACAAATTAATAAGCTCTTTGAAGTGAGACACCACATCTTCAGCTCCCCCACGCACACCCCCTAACTACAGTGGGCACTCTAGTACCGACAGATTAACAAAGGAACAAAAGGACGGCCTCCTTCTGCGCGTACCTGCCTCTGCTTCCATCCTCGCCTTACCAGCCCAGGTACCACCTCCGAACTGAGCCTCCTAGGATTCTCTTCTCAGAATTTTCCCACTGCTTCCTGAGAAGGCTGAACCCCTAAAGCTAGAGTAAAACATTCTCCATAATCTAGTCCATCCCACCTACTAGGCAAACAGGATTTAACTCCAACTCTGAAGGATTAGCTGTGATTATGCAGAGAAGGACCTGAAGCCCAACACATGCTCAGAGAGGTAAAAGTACTGAGACTGATTAGCAATGTCTGCCCCATGAGTAAGCATGTCTGCCATAAACCGGGAATGGAAAATCAGTATATCTGCCATGCGGTTACCAATAAAGAACTAGATGGATTCTTCTGCACCTGGGATCTTCAGACCCTTGGAGGTTCACACATACGCTTGGGGATCTAAGAGTTCTCTATGAGAAGTGTTAAGTTTTGTGACTTTATTAGGAAAATAACCCTTAAAATTTTTAAATATTATTGGGGCCGGCCTGGTGGGGCAGCGCTTAAGTTCGCACGTTCCGCTTCGGTGGCCCAGGGTTCGCCAGTTTGGATCCCGGGTGCGGACATGGCACTGTTTGGCAAGCCATGCTGTGGTAGGCATCCCACATATAAAGTAGAGGAAGATGGCATGGATGTTAGCTCAGGGCCAGTCTTCCTCAGCAAAAAGAGGAGGACTGGCAGCAGCTGGCTGAGGGCTAACCTTCCCCCCCAAAAAAAATTTTTTTTAAATATTACTGGCAAATTCAGTGTTATCATTTGCCTTCATGTTTATGAACACAGTGGAGCCCAGTAGTATTACTGTACTAGCAATGGGTAGAGCAGAAAAGAATACAGGCAGAATTAACATGTAAATGATGTCCTGAACCAGGTGAAGGGCAAAGTGACACCATGATTTTGTGGTAATCAGAACAGAGAAGAGGAGTGGCCTGAGTTATCACATGGGGCACAGCTCATCAGGCCTGCTAAACTCAAGAGAATCTGAGCTATAGTGGTTAGCCGCATATTCACAGTGAGAGCTTCAATTCAGTTCAGCTGAACAGCATTTCTCACATTAAATTAATGTTGTTACTCTGAATTTATTGAATTTATTTTTACCTTTGGTTGAATTTATTTTGTACATGTGTTTTAGTTTGCAGTTGTATCACAGCTTTAAGCAAACGATGTTATATGTGAGTTTATGTCTGAACACAATTGAGTAACATAATCAAATTCATTTAAAGTGAACACTGAGGATCTGTGAAAAAATTTTGCCTTTAAAAGAATCTGTACGTTACTCATGGCTTCATCCGTCAGGGATGTTTTAAAGGGAATTCATGAATTGGGTGAGAGATTGGATCCACTCTAGGTATACAGACATATAGAGTGTTCGTATTTGTACATATACAATTTATGTATCTAAACAACACAGGCCCCAGCATTAATCCTCAGTTTTCACACATTCTCCTCAATGTGCTCTGAGCTTGTAATGTTCATCCCTGAATCGAACCAAGATCACAAACGTAAATGCCTGTGGATATCAGGCAGGTAATAAATGAGTGAAGCTAGTAAGGCGTGAGAAAAAAAATTTTTTTGTTTTTGGCAAGGAAGACTGGCCCTGAGCTAACATCTGTTGCCAATCTTCCTCTTTTTTTTTTTTTTTTCTCCCCAAAGCCCCAGCACATAGTTGTATATTCTAGTTGTAAGTCCTTCTAGGTCCTCTATGTGGGACCCCACAGCACGGCTCAATGAGCAGTGTGTAGGTCTGTGCCCGGGGTGCAAACCCATGAACCCAGGCTACCAAAGCACAGCTCTGGAACTACCACCACTACACCACCGGGCCAGCCCCCAGAAAAAAAGTTTCTTGAAATCCTCAGTCTTCTTTATCCACATATTTTTTTCTCAGCATGACAGAAGTGTAAGTGTAAGAAATATTTCACTTTCCCCTTAACTTCACTAAAAGAAAACACCATCGAAAATATGACAAATGGCAAGTGACACCTAGCCCCAGTGTGGGGGATCATGACAGGGTGTGGTGACAAGTGTGGCCAACTAGAGAATTCACGCTCCATTGGCGGGGCAACCACCACCCAGCTCCAGCTCCATTCCCATATGACTGTCATATGGGAATTCAGGATATATATAGAGAAAGAGAGAGAAACAAAAGAAAAAAGAAAGAAATTTTGATTTTTAAATGAAAATCTCACAATTAAAAAATTCTGGCAACAGAGTCAAGCAGTTTTCCCAAACACAGCCCTAGCCAAAAAAAAAAAAAAAAAAGATGCCTGCAGCTCGCTGAGCCAGGGACCGCCAGTTTGCAACTCTGTTCTCAGCTCTTCTTCAAGCTGCGCCCCCGGCCCCAGCATCTGCAGATCCTCCCCCATCATCCCGATGGTCCTTCAAGGTCAGCCTTCAGGATGCTCAAGGCCGGCCCGGCTCAGGCCGACCCTCCTCCGGGTCCCGCGCGCACGCTCGCGCCGGCTCTCCATCCTCCACCGCTTCGCTCAGCAGTCAGCCGACCTCGCCGGTGTTTGTCCCGGCTCGCGCCTTACTCATACCCCCGGGCCCCCCTCGGTCTCCTGCAGCGCCATGCACCTTGCCGGGTCTCAGGAAACACCGGGAACCGGACTCGAGGAAGCGCCTCCCAGGAGCGCGAGGAGCAAAGCCTCACGCTCGCCGCGGGATCACACGCCGGTACCCGGCCCCGAAGCGGCTTTGAGGGCGACCGCGGCCCGCGGCCCTGCACGCCGAGGGGGTGGAGGTTCCGAGCAACGCGGGGCCGCGCCGCCCGCCTCCGGGCCCTTCGCGATTTCCTCTCGGGGCTGCCGGCGCCTCCCCCGCGGCCGCTCCGCCCGCCCCGGCCCCCGCACCGCGGCCCGCGCCGCAGTCCCCCCTGCGCGGCGTCCGCCAACAGCCTGAGGCGCCGGGAGGCGGGGAAGCCCCGAGGCCGCGGCCGCCCGCCCGCCCCGCTCCCGCGCGCCCTCTCCCCGCCGGCGGGTCCCGCCCGCGCCCCTGGCCGCCCGCGCCGGCGCAGGCCCTCACCCGCGACAGGGTGAGGTCGGTCATGAGCTGCTCGAAGGCCCGCGTCTCCTCGGCCTGCCGCTGCGTGTGCAGCGCGATCTTCTCACTGAACTTCCGCGGGTTGGCGCTGCCCGAGCCCGGCGACGCGGCCATGGTGCGGGCCGGCGCCGCCGCAGGGGCACGCGGCGGGCGCGGGGCCTGCGCCTCCGCCCGGCCGTCCGTCCGTCCGCAGGCCGCCCAGGCCGCCCAGGCCGCCGCCCGAAGCACGGCCTCCGGCGCGACCCGGCAGAGGAGCCGCCGCGGCCCCACAGCCCGCGAGCGGCCGGGAGCGCGCCAGGCCCGCCCCCGCGCGCCGGCCCCGCCCCCATAAGGCCCCGCCCACCCAGCGCCGGCCCGGGCGCCTGGACAGGCCCCGCCCACCCGCGCGCCAGCCCCGCACACGGCCTCTCGAGCCCGCCACACGGCGCCCCAGCCCGGCCTCCGGAGCCCGCCGCCCGCCCCGGCCCAGCGACTCCAAGCCCGGCGCAGGAGCCCGCAGCGCGCAGAGACACAGGAAACCCCGTCAGCAAAGCGAAATGGCTCGGCCGCGTGGGAGAAGCCCCGGGCCCATGTTACTGCAATACTCCCATTTGGGGAAATCCTGGCCTTTGGATTTACGTGACGATTTTGGAACAGTTTTAACACCCTTCTCCCGTTCCCACAATTATAACGATTTACTTCAGGGGCGGAAAAGCGGGCGACCTAAGCTTGAGCCGGCCTCTCGCTTGGTCCCAGGCTGCGGGGCCCGCGGTCCCCCCGCCCCCAGCCCGCTTCCACCCGCGCTGCGCTCCGCTGACAGGCGCGGAGGCCCACCCAGGAGAGAAGTGCCTTCATCTGGATCTCAGTTTGTAAACTATCTCCTGATGTGCACGAACTTGAGACACCATCCCCGCCCCGGTGGAACCTCGTGGCTCCTCAGCCCCGGCCCCTTTTCACGGTCCTCTCCAAGGCTCCTTGTGGTCTCCGCAGACTCCGGCTCCAGCCAGGGCTCAACCTCACCTGTCACCAGCCCGTCAGCCTCAACGGTTCTCCTCCTCCTTCACAGTCCAGAAGCGACTCTCAGCACAAATGCGGATGTGCATAAAGATGTTCTGGACAGCTCTGAAGAGGGTCTGTGTCTTGTAGATTAGGAAATATTAGAGACATGCAGAAGGATGCAAAAAATAATAACATCCACGACCTCCGCTATCAAGATTAAACATTTCAAAACATTTTACATCATTACTTGGTATTTATTAAAGAAGTATAAAATCAGACACAAGTAAAGCCCCACCCTGTTCTTTCCGCTTCCTCCCTAGAGATAGTCACTGTGCTCGGATAGTTAGTGGACACCATTCCCCTTCGTGTTTTTATGCTTTTATTGCATATGATATATGGATCCACCAACTGCTTATGGAATACCAATTTCTAAATTTTACAAAAATGACTTCATGCTGAATAATCTTTTGCAACTTTTTTTATTTACCGTCACGCTTTTGAGATTCATTTGTGTTGATTCGTTTGTTTTAACTATTACACAGTATTTCATTATGTTTTTCATGTCTCACATGTAGCTGGATTTTTTAGGAAATTTAATATGAGAATATATCTATTAACTAGAGTTTAGCTTATTTTATTAATTATAATTGGATTTATTCTGTTTATTTTGTGCTATTTACAAGGCTTTTTATTTATATTTTATTTTCTGCTTTCCTGTTATATTGTCTGAGCTCAGTTTCAGAGAACAGACGTCATTCTAGATGGTTTAAGTACAAAAGGATTTATTACAGGGTATAAAATGGCTTAAGGACTTGTTGGAGGGCTGAAAAAGCAGACTCCTGGTAGAATGTTCAGGAATGACTCTGAGAGCCATGCTACAGAACCAGGGCACCAAAGGAGCCACTGCCTCTTCTAAAATCTGGAAGCCACCTATTGAATTGGAAAGCTATCACTACACTTGCCAGCTCCTGAACCAGATGGCCGTTGTCATGATAAGAAGCCACTGCAGGAAAATCAGATGCCTCCACAACAGTCCTCACCAACAGAACAGCACACACACAGGCTCTGCTTCCCTTCTGCCTTACAAATCAAATAAGAGAGAAAATGTGATTGAAAGAGCCAAAATTGCTTCCAGAATCCTGGCTATAACAACATCTAGGAAATGGAGTTGTAGCCTTCCAGCTTCTGAAATACAGGAAGACGCAGTAGGACACTGGAATGGAGGTTGAGCTAAATCCACCATATTCATCCACCAGTTCACCAATGCAGGTATCTATCTTTTTTTTCCCCCCTGAGGAAGATTCTCCCTGAGCAACATCTGATAGGCTGCCTCTATTTTTTAGTATCTAGGTTGCCAGCACAGCATGGCCACTAACAGAGCAGTGTAGGTCCCCACCTGGGAACAGAACCTGGCCACTGAAGTGGACTGGGATGAGCTTAACCACTAGGCCACCAAGGTTGGCCCCAATCTAATCATTTTTAATTTAATTTAGTATTTTTTTTTCTTGTGAGAAAGATTGGCCCTGAGCTAACAAATCTGTTGCCAATCTTCCTCTTTTTGCTTGAGGAAGATTGTTGCTGAGCTAGCATCTGTGCCAATCTTCCTCTTTTGTATGTGGGATACTGCCACAACATGGCTTGATGAGCGGTATGTAGGTCTGTGCCCAGAATCCAAACCGGCAAACCTTAGACCATGGAAGCAGAGCATGCGAATGTAACCCCTATGCCACCAGGCCTGCCCCTAATTTAATTTTTTAACCAAATAAATACATGTGAATTGTTTAACAATAGTTTTACAAGGTCTATAATTTCAAAAAGAAGTAATTCCCAATTCCCACTGTAAATGTTTATCCTGCTGTTTTGTGATTTTTTTTTTCTATTTTAGATATTAACTATGCATTTTCTATTATGAAATAGCAGAAAATTTGGCTATTTTGTGCCCCCAACAAAAATATGACTTTCCCTGCTCCCATTCTTTCAGTGTAGTTATATGATAATTTGTGGTAAATCAATATTAAGTGTTTACAGAGAGTCCTATAGTTCCATTTTTGTACAAATTTTTTTTTAAGATTTTATTTTTCCTTTTTCTCCCCAAAGCCCCCTTGTACATAGTTCTGTATTTTTAGTTGTGGGTCCTTCTGGTTGTGGCATGTGGGATGCCGCCTCAACGTGGCTTGATGAGTGGTGCCACGACCGCGCTCAGGATATGAACCGGTGAAACCCTGGGCCGCTGAAGCGGAGCGCGTGAACTTCACCACTCAGCCACCGGGCTGGCCCCCAGATTTTTTTTGGAGTTAAAAATTGCCTCTTTTTTATTTGCTTAAATTTCTCTCAACCCATTGTAAATCCTTTCCCCAACTCCCTGATTCATAGTGTTTGTATTTGCAACCCCCTCTCTCCCGCCTTCTGGTGCCTCTGGTCCTCTCTCTGGAGTTCTCTGAAGAACTGTGAAAGACATTACTGAGTCTGTGACTGATCGGGTTCAGGGGAGCTTCTCTCCTGGAGCACTTGGCCTCTGCTCCGTCCTGGACTGGCTGCCCTGCGGGCCCACTGTGTGCTGTGGTGCTGGCTCGCCCCTCGTCATCACCCCGAGGGCTCCTTCATCTCCCGTCTTCTGACCTCTGCTTCCTGCATCCCAGGTTGTCCTCTTGCTTCACGTACTCCTTCATTTTAGTGGAGAACATTCTCCAATGGTTTCCTGAGGAAAAAAAGAGTCCATAAAAAATAAAATCCTTGAGACGTTATGTGTGTGCAGATGTTCTCATTTTATTCTCAGACTTGATTGATAGTTTGGCTAAGAGTCTTCTTCGTCAGAAATCCTTTTCACTTAGATCTTTGAACGTATTGCTTCACTGTTTTCTCACTTCCAGAGTTGCTGTTGGGAGGGCCGCTCACGTTCTGTTTCCCTTTCCTTTGTAGGCGACCTGGTTTTCTGAGGGCTGTTGTTGTTTATTTTATTTTTGTCTTTTCTCACCTTCTCTGAAGGCTCAGCATTCTGATGTTTTACGCCGATGTGCTTTGGTGTGGGGCTTTTGTTGTCCTTCATTGCGCTGGGCAACGGGTGTGTTTGTGTGAAAACTGGACATTCGTATCCCTCAGTTCTGGGAAACTGTCTTTTTGGCATTTTTCTTCTCCTCTTTTTCTTTACTATTTCTTTCCAGAAATTCTGTTAGTCAGTTAATGGGTCTTCTAGATTGGTCTTCTAATTTTCCTACTTCTTTCTCTCCTATTTCCTGTTTCTTTGTCTTATGTTGTTCTCTTGCCTGCTACATTTTCTAAACTTTATCCTCCAACCCTTTTGTTGAACTTTTATTTCTGCTATTATATTTTTAATTTCTGAGAGCGCTTTCCTGATTTCTGAATGTTTCTTTTCTGGTAACATCCTGTACTCATTCATGGATGTGCTATTAATTATAGGTTATCTCTGTTTTAAAATTTTCTTCCACTCCTTGCATTGTCTGTCTCTGTTTTGTCCGAGTTCATTTTTTTAGTTTGTTCGTTTTGGTCTCCATCTAGAGACTTTCCTCAAACTTCTGGTGATCCTTCATTCTCGATTCATAATTAAGACAGAGACACTAAATATGTATAGAGCCCTTGTTTCTAGAAATAAAAAAGGCTTAAAATATATTTTTTAATATATTTTGTAGCAGAGGTTGCTAGTTGTCTTCCAATATTCATTCTGCTCTCCCTCCTTTATCAAAAGAAACTCTTAAGTTTTAGCCTCGTGCAACATTGCCTGGCTAAAACCCGCTAAAGACTTCATTTCCCATGCTCCCTTGCAGATAGTTATGGTCATGTGACTGTGTTTCACCCAACAGGATGTGAGCAGAAGCAAGAGAGGCAACTTTGGGATCAAGCCCTTAAATAGAAAGGAGAATGGCCTTCTTTTTCAAACTCTTCTCTCCTGCTCACTGGCTGGGATGTGGGTGTGATAACTGGATCCGGAGCAGCTATCTTAGCCAATTAGATGAAAACTATGTGTTGAAAATGACAGAACACTGGTAGCAAAAGGACCTGGGTCCCCATCCTAGTGGAACCAGTGTTAGCTCTCGACTGATTCTAGACTATTACATGACTGAGAGATAAGCATTGACTTCGTTTAAAACCCTGTTATTTTGGCCTTTGTTACAGGAACCAAACCAGGACCTCTTATACTTAAATAGAAAAATGTTTGAAAACATATGAAGATATGGTTAACAGTAGTTGTCTTTGGGGATATAGCAACTATTGGGAAACTTTTATCTTCTACTTTACACTTTTCTAAATTATTTGGGTTTTTAAAAACAAGTATGTATCACTATT